GGGGGTGGGGGGGCTGGTCTGGGGGCAGCTGGTCTGCACGGGAGGCCTGGGCTTCCGAGGGGATCCGGGTTCCGGTCACTTGGCCCCTGACTCGCTGGCGACTTGGACGAATCACTTCCCCTGTTGGGGCTGCGGTTCCCGCGTGGGTGCAGCCGGGAGGGGAGGGGCACGGAGAGGGTCAAATCGTAATAGCTCCCATAATAGTAATAACAGCAGCTCCTGTTTATGGAGCACTTACTATGGGCCAGGCAGCAGTGAAGCATGATCTCAACCCTCCGAAGTGTGCTCTGCTTTTATCCCCCTTTGCCCGCTGGGCAAACTAAGGCTCCAGAATCGATTCACTTGCCCAGGATTGCACAGCGGGTGGGCCTTGGAACCAGGAGTGACACACAGGTGTGTCTGGTTCCGTGGGAGCCACTGGGCATCCCCAGCCATGGGGGTGGGGAGTGGCATGGGGGGCCCCCACGGCAGAGCCATGTACACTTTTGTCGGGGGCCTCTGTGGTCTGCGCTGCCCCTGCTGGGTGGTGGGTCCTACTCGCTCCAGGTAGCACAGCAAGAAGCTGGCTCAGACAGGTGCGCTGACTGCCTAGGATTGTCCAGTCCTGGAACAACGGGTTGTTTGGTTCAGGATCTGCTGGACTCTGCATCTCATCATGTTCCTTCTCCAACCTCAAGGCAGATTGGATTTCAGAGTGTGCCCCACCATTCTGAGTGGGTGCTCCTGTCCTCCCCACCCCTCCCTCGGCCACCTCCAGGGTTGCCTGCTGAGCCTCTGAGAGGAGCTGGAGGGGGCAGGTTGGTAGTGTAGCAGACCCTCACCCGGGGAGAGGGTGGGAACTGCCATTTCTGAGTACTTCCTTTGTGCCAGGTTGTGCCCAAGGCCACACATCTCCCAGTGGTAAAGCCCGTGGTGACTGATTTCTGTGAAGCTTGGTGTTCTAGCCTGCAAACCGGGGGCCATGGTACCGGACGGAGTCCTAGTGCTCTTGCCAGGATTCCATGGGATGAGGCCCACTGGTGAGGGTTCAGCTCAATGCCTGGCCTATATAGGCTTTTTCTTTCTTGGACCCAGCACTGCCTGCTTTCCTGGAGTATCTCCGCAGGGTAGTGAAACAAGTCAAAAAAAATCCAGTGAGGCAGGTGCTGAGCACAGGGCTGGGCTGGTGGTGTGTTCAAAAGGCCTGTGGCCTGGGTCTACTCACTGGTCGGGAGCCACGAGCCCTGTAATAGCCTTTGTTTCCTGGGCCTCTCTTTGCCCCGCTTCTGCTGATGTGGGCTCTGTACACCCCCAGACCATTCCAGGAGAGAAAACTCCCACTGCCCACAGCAAAGCCCCCAGAGATGAGTCAGAGGGACCAAATCAGTGACAGGGCTTCAGGTGCCCTGACCCCAGCAGCAGGTGGTGGGAGGGGACAGAGTAGACAGAAGGTAACCCCCACTAAGGGTGCAGGATCCAGTGTGTCGACGATCCAGGTAGAGCACCTGGCAGATAGTAAGTAGATAGTAGATTGATGGACAAGAAGTATCGGGTGGCCAGACATGGAGCTAATATCAAGCCACTCTCAAGTTGAGGCCCTTCGCTTCCCTTACTCCATTCAGACCCTTTTGATAAGTAAGGAATCATTAGCCCCATTTTGCAGATAGCAAGACTGAGGCCCCAAAAGGTTAAATACCTGTTCTCCAGTTGCTGTAGGTGGTTGGAGGTGGAGTCGTTGACTGGAACTCAGACCCACTTCTCGTGACCCCTGTCTGGGGGAGAGGATGCTGTTGCCTGGAGATCCTGTCTGGAGGAGCCTGCTCAACTTCCGCAGACCCAGCTGATGGGGGGACCCTCAGCCTGCTGGCTAGGACACTGTGGGAGGGTGGTTTGTCCTGCAGGCCCACTGACTGGTGTCAGGAGGGGGAGACACTCCAGCAGCCGCCAGAGAGGCCTCCTGGCAGCTTGCCCACCCCTGTACCCGAGCGCACATGGATTTGGCACATGGAGAGAAAGATGGAGTTTTCACTTTAGGGAGCTCCCAATTTTAGGGGAGGACACAGAGCTCCTCTCCCCAGTAGATGCCCAATATTATGGGGGAGATACAACCCTTCTTTTCCAGAATGCCCTGTGCTTGAGAAAGGGGACATTGCCTTATGCTGGGGGGGGGTCCCCAGACCAATGTGGGGGACAGAAAAAGGCTGTCAACAAAGCAACATCCAAACAAGCAAATTTTCATAGAGTTCGGAGCAGGAGAGTCCAGATGCCCCCTGATCCTTTCTCCCTTTTGTAGAGGCTTCTAGCTGATCACTGTCCTCTGCCTGGGCTCCCGCCTGTCCCTGCGGGCCTTGGTTTGGCCATGGAGAGGGAAGGACCAGCTGGAGCCTGGTGGCTGCCGTTCTGAGACTCCAGGAGGTCTATAGGGCGCGGGCGGGGGTTGTGGGTCGTGCTGTTCCACGCAGGGAATGGAAAGGTCCCAGGAGTCAGGCAGGCCCAGCTGGATGTGCGTGCGTGTGTGTGTGTGTGTGTGTGTGTGTGTGTTGGTGGGGGAGTGTCTGTGGACCTCTCAGGGGACTGAAACCCAGGAGAGTAACACTTGGCTCCTGGGCGCTGGGAATCCACATCTGCCATTCTGCCACACCCTGTTTATGGCTTCCGTTCAAGCCTGGGGCTCCGTGAGCCTGGAGGATGGGGGAGGAGCTTCATTCATCCCCACTCCCCAGAGAGCAGACTGGGGGGCTTCCTGATGGTGTCCACGGCCTTGTGTGGGCTGGCCCTGCTTGGGGAGGGGGTGGCGGGCATCAGCTGCAGCACAGCGCCCCAGGCCTGAGTTCTCAGCCTCGTCTTCAGACCCCAGAGAGGTGTCTTCCTACCCCCCCAAGGCCCCCGGGCTCAGCCTCTCCCCATCATTCTTGCTCTTGGGAAGGAAGACAGCTTTTCTGTATCCGGGACCCCTAGGGCAGCAGCTGGCCTTCTCTTCGGGGAGGTTCCCTAAAACAAGAACCCGTGTGGCCCCTACAGCCAGGACCTGCGCTAAGCACTTCACAGACTAGCACGTTCAGTCCTCACGAAAGTCTCTGGAGGAAGGTACTAGGGTTACTAGGACCCCATTTTACAGATGAGGAGACAGGCCCAGAGAGGCTAAGTTACTCACCCAGCAGTCTGTCTGCCATTCCGCCCTGCTCCCTCCCTCTCACCTCTGCTGATCCTGGAGCACAGCTTGTCTTTCTGGGGAAGCAGGCCAGGAGCCCTTAGGTGTCAGGCCTCACGCGGACCCTGGCTTTAGCCCCAGGCGGGTCTGCCGGACCAGCCAGAAAGCAGGGGGGCCGGGCCGGGCCCTGGTGCTCGGAACCGAATCCTCCACGGTGTTGCCGTGTGGCATGCCCTGCACACGCTCTGGCTGCCCGCCGTGGGACTGGAGCTGAGTGTCCGGCCACGTTGGGGATGCCTGATCGAGGGCGGCTGGACATGCTGGATTCGGTCCGCAGCGTTCCAGAATGTTGGACGGGGAAACGATGAGGTTGAGAACACGGACATTCGGAATTCCAGCTCACTCGCTTCTCACTTCAAGCTTCTGTGACCTTCGGCAGGGTATTTAGCCTCTCTGTGCCTCAGCTTCCTCACCTGCACAAGGGGGGATAGAAATATCACCGGCCACGTGGGATGTTGATCGTTAAGTTTGATAGCAAACGTGACACACTTCATGTAGTAGGTGGCATCTGGTAAGGGCTCAGCCAATGACAGTGCACACCAGACATCCTGAGTCACACTCAGTCCCAGCCACGGGGAGGGGGAGGGAGGCCAAGGAGATGAAGACGTGAGCCTGGCCCAGCAAAGGGAGAAGGGGCAGGTTTGTAGTGGTTCATCACCCGCTGAGCACGCCGATGGCGCACCAGATAAGGGGAGGGGATGACAGGGCTTCATGGAGGATCAAGGCCTCTTTAGGAGGAGGAGTGAGTTGTGCAGGCAGGACAAGGGAATGGGGCAAAGTCTGGGTTCAGTGAGACAGCTTTCGTGGGGGTGGGCAGTGTTGAGAGGTAATGCCAGGGTCCCTTGGGGGAGGGGCCTGCCTGGAGTTCTCTTGCTGTGAACCACCCCCAGGCCCCTCATTGGAGCCCAGAGTCAGGACCAGGGGACGGGCTGGATCAGAGGTTCCGAATGTGGCTGGCCTCAGAAATTACCCGGGAGATGTAGGAAAAATCCAGACTTACTTCTGGGCCCATCTCGAGCCTCTGGTCCTGGGGCCCAGGAGTCTGGAGTTCACAGTGTCCCTTGTGATGCTGATATGCAGGCAGGTTTGGGACCTCTGGACTGGGTGATCTTTTCGAGTCCTCGGCCAGGGAAGCAGGCACTAGATTTGTGAAGGCCCTGGTGGAGCGCCTGGCAGCACCAGGGAAAATAGAGAAGAGGCAGGCTGAGTTGCTGGGGAGGGTCCAGCGTGGCCTGGGGCCCTCTCCTCCACCTCAGCGAGGGTTTCTTCAGACAGGTGGAGACACAGAGAGCTGGTCACTGTCCCAGGCCTGGGCATTGCATGCACAGGTTAAGAGAAGGGATTCTGGGTCCAGGCTTCTGTGTCCACCTCCTGGTGCTACCACTTCCTGGCTCCCTTGGGCAAGTTACCATTTCCGAGCCTTGGTTTCTAACTGTGGAGTGGGGCGTTAGGACCAGTAAAGGGCTTAGAACCAAGTACGGTTTGTCGAAGGTGTTCAGTAAAGGTTAGCCATCTTGTACCGTGATTTGGTAGAGGGAACTCAGAAAAGGAGCCTCAAGATGCCCACCCCATCCCCTTTGCCCTCCCCCTGCATCCTGACTTCAGGAGCCCTGATCCAGCACCTGACACAGACACACATGCTGGCTTTTTCCATCCATGAAACGTGACACTTTTCCTGTCCCCAGCAGCCCCTGCCAAGGACAGGAGGGCCTCAGAGCTGGCGAATCGCCTCTCCTCACTTGAGCGGGGAGACTTAACCATCCTGGCAAGAATTGGGGGAGCCTTTCCTCAAGTGTGAGCAGCACCCCGCTTTCCTGGTCCCCAGGGTCAGGTGGTGAGGCCTCCCCTCTCCACACCTGCCTAGTGAATCCACCCCAGGTCTTTGGGCCCACTTCCAGTGGATTCCTGCCAAAACCTGCTGGGCTGTCCCCTGCTCTGGGGCCTGCAGCCTGCCTAGCTCTGCCCAGCAGGACCCCTTTGTTCTTTCAGCCCGGGCCCCTCTTGCTTTCACAGAGTGGGGGTGTAAGGGAAGGCCTTACTTGCCTGTGTTGGGTGGGTCTGTTCACCCAGAAAAGCATTATGTCCTGGACCCCAGTGAAAACAGTCATGAGCGCTGCAAATGGGTGTGTGGGGGGGTGGAGGGTGGGGTCCTGCCTCTAAGGAGGAGAGAGGTCAGGAGAAATCTGAGAAGGCTTCATAGAGGTGGTGGCAGGAAAGGGGTGTCCCTGTCACTGGCCCTGGGACCTGGAGGAAGATTAGGGAAAGGGTAGAGAGAGGGGGAGCTGGGGCAGAAGGGGAAGAGCCCAGTAAGGTGAGCCGCCTGGCTGGGGGAGGGCCCTCTCAGTGGAGGGAATGAGTATGTCACTGGGCCAATCAGGGAGGGCCTTGAATGCCAGGGCAAGGTGTTAGCCTCTCACTGATCAGTTCTTGAAGTAGGTACGGTGGTCTCAGTTACCCACGGGCAACCACGGTCCGGAAGCAGATGATCCTCTTTCTGAGGACATGTCAGTACTAGCCTACGTCACAATGCTACATCTTCATCTTATTTCCTCTTGTCCTGTAGTGTGTGTGGGTTTTTTTTGTGTTTTTTTTTTTGTTTTTTTGAGAGAGAGTGCTCGCACAAGCTGGGGGGAGAAGGGGAGGGGGCAGAGGGAGACGTAGAAGCAGACTCCCCACTGAGCAGGGAGCCAAATGCCGGGCTTGATCCCAGGACCCTGAGATTATGACCTGAGCGAAGGCAGACACTTAATGGACTGAGCCACCCAGGTGCCCCTTGTCATATAGGGTTTTTACATCTCACACCATCACAAGAAGGGGAAGTTCAGTGCAGTAAGGTATTTTGAGAGGCCCCATTGCTACAATGTTTATTCCAGTATATTGTTATTATTGTCCTATTTTATATGGCTAATCTCTTATTGTGCCTGATTTATAATTAAACTGCATCATAGGTGTGTACCTATAGGAAAAAAAATAACATATATAGGGTCTGGTACTCTGTGGTTTCAGGCATCCACTGGGGGTCTTGGAAGGCATCTCCCATGGATAAAGGGGGGACTACGGGGCTCGAACTCATAACCCTAAGACCAAGAGTCGTGTGCTCTACTGACGACCGAGCCAGCCAGACGCCCCTACTGTACTATTATTGTCCCTATTTTACAAAGGGGAAACTGGAGCCCAGAAAAGTCACGGACTTGTCCAAGGTCACAGAACTGGTAAGAAGCAAAGCTAGGATTCTGACCAGGCAGGCCAGCTACAGAGCCTTTACTTCTCAGATAACACAGCTTCAAATTGTGATCTGGAAGGGACTGTCCCAGGGCTCCCAGAGAAGCTGTCTGGGGAGTTGTTTCCAGCAGGTTCTATTGCAGAGGTTAAGCCACACTACAGAGTCTGAGAGAGGTCTCTTGTTAAAAAGGTAGAAGCTAAGGATTTATTTCTTTTCTTTCTTCTGTCTCTTTTTTCTTTTTTTCAAGATTCTATTTATTTATTTGAGAGGGAGAGCACGAGCAGTGGGAGTGGCAGGCAGAGGGAGAGGGAGAAGCAGGGAACCTGACATGGGGCTCGATCCCAGGACCCTGGGATCATGACGTGAGCCAGAGGCAGACCCTAACTGACTGAGCCCCCCAGGTGCCCCAAAAGCTAAGGATTTCAAGTCGGTTTCCACTTAGGATCCACTCATAGGTTCTCCCGTGGTGGCCGAGTGAGGCTCAGCAAGAAAGACCATTGGGATAGATGAGCAGGGTGTGCCCTGGGCGCAGGTACGGAGAGCGGTGGCCATCCCTGGGCCCCTGTCCAGCATTGGCCAGAGAGGTCCTCCTGGTGTTCGGCATTCAGGGTGAATCCTTTCCTCCGCCCCTGTGCAAGGCCAGAGCCCCCTAAATCCAGAGAGACCCAGCCCCACAGTGCAACGTGCAGACAGCTCTGCTCTGGACACCTCCTGTCATGCCAGTCCGTTCGCAGGTGGATGGGACCCTGGGGGAGAATCGGGAGACCTGGGTTCTGACCTTTGGCACGTCCTTCCTGCCTGGGCCTTGGGCCCTTGTCTATAATGGGTGGACACGAGGACACATCTTGCTGGGATTTGACACATCTGGGAACAATGACCTGCTCCTGCCTGTCGCCCCTCCTCCTCCAGTGCAGTTCACCACGCCCTTCTCTGTCCACAGACAACCTGTTAGTCCTCACGGTGGCCACGAGGGAGACTGAGGGTTTCCGGCGCTTCAAGCGTTCAGGCCAGTTCTTCAACTACAAGATCCAGGTAAGGGGCTCCCCGGGGGGGAGGGGGGCAGGACAGCCAAGGGGTGGCGGGAGAGTCCAGGAGCTGGGTTTTTGCCCTTCCCAAACTGATGAGGGCCACAGGGAAGGCTTCTGGAAGCCCAAAAGATGAGGATGAGTTAGGAAAAGCAAGAGGGGGAGAACGTAATCAAAGTCTGGGAGGTGCTGGAGATGGGAGAGTGGGGGAAGTGAGACAGGAGGATTATGTGGCCGTGCTCATGCTAGGGTGTGTGTGTGTGGCTGGTTTAGAAGGCAGGGCCAGGGAACCAGCATTTGCACCAGTCCCCCCAGGTGATTTTGGGATGGCCATAGTCTAGAGATCGCACATGTGTAAACACCGCTCTAAAGAAACCCAGGCCAATGGCCAGTCTGCTTGGTGTCCTCTGTGTGCGGTGTGTGGGGCTTAGCCCTGTAGGGAGACGTTCCTCCATTTACCTGAGTGTGCCGAGTGCCTCCTCCTGTCAGGCACAGTGGTAGGCGCTGGGAATAAAATGGTGGACAAGGAAGACCATGGCACTGCCTACACAGCTTACAGTCTAGTGGCATTAAGCCAGAAAGAAAATGGATTAGTTCACATGAATGCGGGTTGAAGCAGAGGGTTGCTTCAGGCATAGTTGGATCTAGGGGTTCAAGCTCCATGATAAGGGCTTCGTCTTTCCATCTCTAGGTCCCGTTGGTCTTCATTTGCAGACATGCTTTCTCTGCATGGTGGCAAGATGACCACCAGCCATAGACCCACATGCCCCAGCTTCTCAACCTCAGCAGAACTAGACAGCCTTTCCTTAGTTTGAACAGAAGAGTCCCAGGGAAGACTCTGATAGGCTGTGCTTAGGTCACGTGCTCAAACCCATAGTTCCCGGAAGGATGGAACACACTGATTGGTCGGGTGTGGTCACATGACCTGACCCCCCTCTCCCAGGCCAATCAGCTTCACATACTTTGTAGAACGGTTTCCCCATAGGTGCTGGACAGACAGAGGCAGAGATGGGCACTGTCCAGGTGGGGGTGGAATTTTGGCTGGCGAGATAGTTCTTTGTCAAAAGCCCACGTTAAGGGGCCTTTCTCTGCAGGCACTGGGCCTGGGAGAGGACTGGAGTGGGGAGAAGGGATCGTCGGCTGGTGGAGGGCTGAAGGTCCGGCTGCTGAAGAAAGCTCTGGAGAAGCACGCGGACAAGGAGAACCTGGTCATTCTCTTCACAGACAGGTAGGTAGCTGGGGGCCTCCTGGGCAGGGCCCCTCAGCAGAGAGATGGAATATTCTAGAATGAGGCCCTTGCAGAATAAGGGGGAGGAGGGGGGATCACTCCAGCTAAGGTTGTCTATAGTGTTTTGGGGGGGTCTGTGAGCCCAGAAAAGACCATTCCCATTGGTGGTGAGGAGGTGGGCAAGGGGGCCTGCCCAGGTCGGGTGAGCCATGCTTCGAGCATGAGGAGGGCACCAGGGTGGGGACCATCTGTCTGCCCAGGGTGGGGTGGAAACACTGCAGGCCAGGCCAGAGACAACAGGGCAGATGCGTTTCCCAGGGGTGGCACGGGAGGAGGTGCCCTCGTGAGCCCCTGCTCACCTCTGCCCTGCTCCCGATTCCCCCGGGTCCGGCCACAGCTACGACGTGGTATTTGCATCGGGGCCTCGAGAGCTCCTGAAGAAGTTCCGACAGGCCAGGAGTCAGGTGGTCTTCTCGGCCGAGGAGCTCATCTACCCGGACCGCAGGCTGGAGACCAAGTATCCGGCCGTGTCCGACGGCAAGAGGTTCCTGGGCTCTGGAGGTGAGGAGCCTGGGTGCAGAGAGCATGGCGGGGCTGGGCGGGCTCCAGAGGGGTCCATCCACTGCCATCAGGATGTCCCCCTGCATTCGGCCTCATCTCGTGAACAGCCACCCATCTGCACAGGGGAAAACCAGAGTCACCCCTGAATGTCCTCCCTCGGCCCCCCCACCCCTCAGTCCGTGAGCCGGTCACGCCACTCCCACTTTGAAAGACCTCTCGACTCCACCCTTGAGTCCACCCCGACTGTCACTGCCTCACTTGGCTCCTGGCCGTTTGTAGTAGTCTCCTGCCTGCTCTGCCAACCTCTACCCTCACCCCTGCTAGGCCATTCTCCATCCAGCAGCCAGGCACAAATCCACACACATCACTCAATGGCTTCTTATTGCATCGAGACTAAAATCTGTATTTTATTCCGGATTCCTCTGTCCAGCCACAGAAGAGGGTCCGCCCCCCCGGCAGCCACATTTCCCCATTGGCCGAGAGAGTTAGCACCGTCTAGATGGCCTGGTCCTGGCCCGGGGCTGGCAGTGTTCTCCCTTTCCCTGGCTGGCCCCTTCTCCCCTTTCTCTTCTCTCCTTACCCATCTGCACTGTGGCCAAGGTGCCATGTGGGCTTTTTTCTCTGAGCCCCCATGCACTGAGTGACCGTGGCCCAGCCCCTGCCCTTCTCTGGGCCAAGTTTCCCAGATACCTATAGAAAGGGGGCTCCTGGCCTCTGCCCCACCAGCTATGCTCTCCAGGGACTCCTGGTCTGATCCATTTGTTCACCACCTTTGTGGCGCTCACCACCTGAGCTGGGGCAGGTTAGTGGGCACCGTGATCTTTCTCTGTGAGCTCAGTGGGAACTTGTCACCAAGTGGCATTCGCTAGCAAGGCACTTTCAGCTTACGGACACTACCTCCGCTCAATCCAGGAGGACTTCTAAGAGAAGGTGAAGGAGAGGGAGGTGAATGAAAGTGGATGCTGGGACGAGGCTCCTGACTTGGAGGCCGGAAGCTAAGTGTCTGTCTTTGTGTGTCCCCCACCAACCTGCAGGCTTCATCGGTTATGCCCCCAACCTCAACAAACTTGTGGCCAAGTGGGAAGGCCAGGACAGTGACAGCGACCAGCTCTTTTATACCAAGATCTTCTTGGACCCAGAGAAGAGGGTAAGGGCCAGCGGGGGGCGGGGGCTGGGGCATCTTAATGCTGGATCTTGATGCTGCAGTGGGAGCAGCGCCCCTGAGGCCTGACCCCCTGGGTCAGGCATTGACACCCCCATGCATCCATTCACCGATTCACCGAGGTATTCAGCAGCTACTTATTGGACGCCTGTGTGTGAGATGCTGTCAGGTGCAGGGTTGGGATGTGGCAGTGAACGAGACAGTTGGGGTCTCCACCCTCATGGACCCTCAGGTCGGGGAGACAGGAGTTTATGACCTCACGTCTGTAGTGATGGTGTTGAAAGGAGCCGACAGGCTGAGTTGCCCCTGCCCCACCCTGCCTGGGAGGCTCCTGAGGGGCTGACGAGGTCTTGGCCGGACTTAAGCCCCGACCTCCGAGCCTATCTTCAGGAGAGGTCATCGAGGGGACTGAAGATGGCAGGTCTGGACCCATGTTGCCCCAAACCAGCCAGTGTCCTCTGGGCAGGCAGGAAACTCAGGGAGTCCTTGGAGGGTCAGGATTCCTGGATTCTGCCCTGCTTATCTCCCCAACCCCTATCCATGCTGTGCTGTGTGACCTAGGGTGAGTCACTGCTCCTTTCTGGGCCTCGGTTTTTGTCATCCACGAAATAATGAAACGAAGCGGTTGGACTTGTGCAGTCGAAATGTGAACTTGATCTCTAAACTCAGTCCTTCCTCCTCCTTCGTCTTTGCCTCCAGTGACATCACTTGCAGAAGCTCATGGTCCCAAACATAAAAGTGGAGCTGCTCCCTATGGGATGAGGGCCAAGCCTAGGGTTCCACTTGTCTTCCTTGGCCTGGCTTAGGGCTCCATGAGACACAGTTGAATCTTGAAGAGGCAACATTGCGCATGAACAGGGAACCTCAGGGCCAGGCTCCTGGGGTTCAAATGCCAGCTTAGGCAGTTATTAGCTGTGTGACCTTAGCCGAGTTAACCAACCTCACTGTGCCTTATTTTTTAAATCTGTAAAATGTAGTGCTGGTGGTACTTTCACATAAGGATGTTGTGTGGATTAAATTAATTAATGTATTTGTAGTACTTCGTGATTGACAGTAAAGGAAAAATAAGCATTTGTTGTCATCGTGGTGATTGTGCTTGAACCAGCTGTTTCCCTTAGATGCCTTCCAATTCTGAAAGTCCCTGGACCAGCAGATCCTAGGGCTACCAGCTGCCCCGGTGTGACAGGGCAGAGTGGGTGTGGGGCGAGGAGATGGCAGAAGTGGGAGGACAGGCTCCCCACACTCAGCGTGATGGGGCCCCATCCCCTGCCAGGGCCTGTCCCTACTACATCCTGGTGTCCCCTTTCCTGCAGGAGCGGATCAACATCACCCTGGACCACCGCTGCCGTATCTTCCAGAACTTGGATGGAGCTCTGGGTGAGCAGCCCCCACGGGCTCTCTGGCCACTGTGCTGGGAGGTGGCCTGCCCACATCCGAGGTCCCCAGCGGCCACCTGGATGTCCTGGGGCAGAGCTGTGTTTCTCTGGGGGTGGAGAAAGGAGGGCCAAGAGGTCAGTCTAAGAGCCTGCGGGACACCAGGGCAGGAGGCAGCCGCTCAGCCTGGGAGCAGCTGGGCGTTGCACACCACGGGTACCTGTCCCCTGCAGCCCTGGTTCTTACAGGTGAGCATGCTCCCCTCCTTCCCTGCCCTCCCACCTCCCAGGTGAAGGCTTCCTGGGCTCGCATGGGGACTGAGCTGACAGGAGGGCAATGGATGGCTTGGGAAGCAGAGAGGCTGCCTGGTCCTTAAAACCAGAAACACTCTGGGGCTGGCCCCAAATCCATGGCTGGTGATGACATTCCTTTGTCTTCCTGGGTGACCTCGGACAAGTTTTCCTTACACACACACACACACACACACACACACACACCTCTTAGACACACACGCACACACACACTCACACCCCCCTCTTAGACCTCATTTTCCCATCTTTGGAAAGGAGTAGTTAGACCCAATAGCTGATTGGTGATTTTATGGGGTAAATGGAATCTTATTGTTTGAGAATCTAATGAACACTATGACTCCTTTCTTGGGAAGGTGCAGAAGCATCCACACCCTTTTGTCTGTGGCTTCTGGGAGTGCATGGACCTACATTAAGAAGCCTGGTCCAGAACACTTTTGGGGAAGCCAGGAACTTGCGTGGAGGGCCCCCCTCGCATGACCACCCACACAGAAGGCCTCCCTCCCCAGTGTCTTCCAGGCCTCTGATGAGAGGCCCCTCTGCATTTGTAACTGTTGGACAGGCAGTTTCCTCCTGCTGTCTAATGGGGTCAGAGCAAGAGGGTTAGGGTCCTGCGGGAGGAACTCTCTCCACCAGGACAGGATCTGTCCCCCACCGTGCCCAGGACTTCCCCTTGGGCTGGCGTATTCTCAGTACTCTCTGCATGCCTGTCAGAGTGGCTACCGCCAGGCTCTGTCCCAGGGCTTCTCTGAGCTGGAGCCGGGGCTGGGGCTGGGGCTGGGATGTTTCAGGTCTTTGCTTTGTCCCCTTCCCTGCTTCTGGCTCCAAGAAGTTACAGTAAATACTAGGGGTTGCTGTGGATTCCGTGTGCTGGGCATGGTGCTAAGTGCTTGCCCAATATGGACTCCTCCCACTCTTACCCCCATTTCACAGACGAGGAAATTCGAGGCTCAAAGAGGTGGTGTTAGTAGCCTGGAACATGCCCTGGGTGGGAGCTAGGATTTGAGCTTGGCCTCTGGGCCTGATGCTGGATGTGTCTGTGCTTTCTGACCCCCAGATGAGGTCGTGCTCAAGTTTGAGATGGGCCACGTGAGAGCGAGGAACCTTGCCTACGACACCCTCCCGGTCCTGATTCATGGCAATGGGCCTACCAAGGTAGGGAGAGGCCCCAGCCCACGGGGAAAGAGCGAGAGAGGGGCCAGACGCCTGAGTCTGCTCTCACCATGACCCCACAGCTTCTCCTTGGGGTCAGGGCCCCCTGGGCCCCATTGCCACCTTGCTGCGTCTGTCCTCTCGTCTAGTTCAGCGTGGCGCCTTGTCTCCTTGCTGTGGTGGTCAGTGATGTTCATCCCTGCTCAGCCACCGGACACAGAGGAGGTCACTGTCCCCATCAGGGTCTCAGCTGGGCCACCTGAGTCATCTGTACCCCGCCATCCCAGGGCAGACTTGTTTCTTTGTGCAACAAACATTTACTGAGTGTTTGCACTGGGATATAAGGCAGAGTCAGTCTTGAGAGGGACAGACTGGTTCCTGTGCTCCCGGGGCTCAGAAGGAGCTGGGGTGTAGGCCAGACCTCATGGGCCCTGGGGAACCAGCCCTGGCTCACAGCACACTGCTTCAAGTGTGGTCCTCGACCCCCTCCGTGCCCCCCCCCCCGCAAAGCTTCCCATTCTCATATCCTGGGCTCCGT